GGGGGGGGAGTGAGAAAGAGTCGATGTGAATGACGGCCGGTCAGTTCTATAAACCACGAAGCGCCACTGTCTATTACACATTCGGGGTATCATATGTGGCTCAGAATCCCATAGAACAGGAAATCTTTGTGAGCAATTTTGTAAAGACCCCTTTATTCCAAGTCAAGACGAGAAGACGCTGTGATGTGGTGAATCGTGAGACCCTAACCTGAAATGTCTTTGCCGTCTTGACAGTACAATTCATCCAGCACTGGCCCACACCCTGCGCACGTTGTATTGTTTGTAAACCGTCTTACGTTGAAAGTAGGTCACCGCGCTGCGATCTTGCATCCGCCAGCTTTGTTGTCAAGGATTGCCCGCCTCACCTTCCTCTCTCGCTACGCTTGTAGTATACAGACTCTCTGGTATTACCCAAAGAGGTTAAAGAAATAGAACTACAGGCCTTAGCTGTGACGTCATGATTGTCAAACTCGAGGGGGGCGCGCCATACCGGAGAGGTGCACAGCAACACTTTTCAATCATTAATGATACTCTACGAAGTCTTTCGATGTTGATTTTTTTTTTTTTGGGGGGGGGGGGGGAGGATATGATCTACCTATCGCTTAACTAGATTAAGACGACGAAGTATCAGTCTGCTATCCTCGTCACGGACTCGATGAGTACCTTCGAAAAAGGGAAGAAACACATGATGTATGCAGACTTGCGAGAGGCTATATTATTATATACAAAGCAGCAGACTCACAAGGGTTGTATGGATCCCTGGTCAGGCAGGAGTTCAAGGCAATGAACGTGCTGATAATCTAGCCGGCCAGGCTGAGATTGGCGGCACCATGCAATTAGATCCACCAACAGTCATGGCAGCGTTAACAGCATGGTTCAACGACCACAGAGAAGATGAAGACACCACTTCACTCACAATGGATAAACTGTTACTGAGGGAAACTGGTGTCTCTAGGGGGTCGGGGAGAGACAACAACCTACGTGGAAAAGCCAGAAGAAAATCCAACCAGCTGTTAACTAGCACGATCAGCAGGCAGACCCTTTCATAGATCCTGGAGAGGAGGGAGGAGCAGCTATGGCATTGTGTCGCCTGCAATTATGCCTATTCTCTACCCAAGTAACCAAGTAACCTATCGCTAAAAATGTATGTACTCATATTGATTTTTGTGATTGTTTACCTTTAAATGAGCCAGCTAATCTCCAAATAATGCGAATAATAGAGAGAGTGATACCATATGGGTCAGTAAAATTCAGAAAACAAATGAATGAGATGGACTTGGTGATCACTTGTTTAAATAAAAAACAATTTTATTGAAATTGTTTGCTGTGCGTCGCTCAGACAGTATGTCTAGATTTAGCACCGCTGACTAGAACAAATAAGCGCTCGTATCGCCCCCCAGGAATCAGGAATGTGACTGCCATGATGCGAAGTTACTAGAACCCTCATCTGCAACTCTAGCATACCTTCAGGGCTGGCTGAACGGAAAAGAACCACTGTCGATGTTGCTGAGATGAGAGAATTTAAAGTAGCCAACCAGGCGTAACTACTCACAAAGAAGTCCGCCGTAATACATGTATTCTGTCTCATTAGCTGAACCGATGCCAAACAGCATGTGCAACAGCATCAGGAGGAGTTCATGGAAGATGGAGCATTGTGTAGCCAAACGCCATTGCCAATAAACACCAATTTTAGAAAATATTGTGAACGTTTAAGATGAGGGAGAGCTATTTAGGCCACATATGGCCTAAATAAGGTCAACCTCTCCCAACGTAACATTATTTAGGCCACCTGTAGCCTAAATAAAGTTTCCTCTTCCCCGAAACATTATTTAGGCTACATAATAATATATATGCTCAAACTACCCTTTCCACGCAACTGAGTTCGTTCCACTTTCATAACGGTGCACCTTTCTCATTTAGTACAGTTTTGTCTCAGTGTACAACTTATTAATTATAATCATAATGAAAATTGTAAGAACAAAGCACAATACGCAAAATTGTGCTCAATCCCAATGGTTTGAATGAGGGTAAGATTTTTCCTTCCCTGGAGGGTCAAAAGCTAGGCTACCATTTTGGCACACTTTGGTCAAGTGAAAAGGTCAAATTCTCCGAATGGACTTCCTGGTCAAATTTGGTGTATAAAAAGTGTGTACACAGTATATATATA